CATCTCTCCAAACCACATAGAGACCTTATATAACTCCAGGGAATACCATGACGCACCTATGTAAACACAAGGGATAGGCACAAATCTAATCTAGGATTATGTGAATTGGTGAAAATGAGCTTCAAACAAAACCAAGACATTTTCTTCACCAGAAAAGAAAAGGACAAAGAACCAACAGGCTGCCTACGGAGGACCAATAGTATCGCCTATTAGTTCCAGGAATCTTGTACCTAGGTGGTCTTCCAAACCAACAGGCCGCCTATACAGAACCAATAATATCATCTATTAGTTCCAGGAATCTTGTGCCTAGGTGGTTTTCTCAATTCCAAAACTTGGGCCATTCCTAATAGAAAAATTGCATCTTCCCCTCTTTCCAGTAACATTAACCAACCACGTCACTGCCACCAACATCTCAAGACATGACTAAAAATATCATGCTGACCTATAGGCAATATACGAAGGAACAAAGAATGTCTTCAGCCCCATCACAAGATAATGCAACTCTTGCGACAAAACCACCTACTTGTAGCTTTTACAGCTTAAAAATCATTAATCAAAAAGAAATTCTTTTAACAGAATAGAAGGAATTTGTCATCATCACTTTTAACATTTCACCCATTTGTCGAACCACACTTAAAATATCATCCATCTAACTCATGATTATGCGTCCTTTCATAGGCTTTTTGAAATTAAATCAAAAGAAATGAGTGAGATATTAACTAGTTCATCTTTTGAGTGTTTTTCTTGGACAAATTTCCCAAAAAAGAATCTCGCAGTTATTACAAAACACTTAATGAACAACTTAACCATCACTGAAACAAAAGGGATTGTCTACAAAGAGCCCATTGATCTTTTGTATATGGCGGTCACAATCATTCTTGTCCCTTAAAATTCCAAATTGGGTGGTTGTAAGAGTGTCATTGAATACACAAAGTTCAAAAAAAAAAATTCGGACTTCATGACTCACCCCAAGCCATCCAATTTAACATCTGACCTCCATGTACAAAAGATAAATGGTCTCTTTGTAGACAATCCCAAAACACAAGGACTACAAAACTTTATAATAAACATCTATGCTCCATGAAAAGCTGTAGATTGAGCAAATGTCAAATTATCTTTCTAGACAACGATCCAATGACCAAGTTGAACCCTAAGGGGCAAATAAAGATTTAGCCATCCAACATTAGACATCACCAGACAAAGAAATGGTCATAGAAATATGGATGAACACAGCTATCAGCTTAAATAATTGATCCCAAATCAGTAGTTAAATTGTTGAAGAAAGCATAAAGAAAGTCATTTGTCATTTTCAATAAGTTCCCACTAGTTTCAGAAAAACAGATAACAAAACATATTATCGCGTTCAAAACAGAATTAAAAATCATTTTGTTGCAAATATCTAATCCTTCGAATATATAGAAAAGCTATGATAACAACCACACCATGAGAACTGTCTCACCAAAGCGGAATCACATTATTGAGATCATGGTTAATGGGTAGACTAGATCAAATTTGATCATTTATTTCAAATAACTGCTTTGTGGAACATATTGCAACAGCCATTATTTGTCATTTCCATTTCAACAGATTGAGCACCAGAAAGGGTACAATAATAAACATAATAAAAAACCATTCTGAGAAGATCAAATCATATGCATAATTACTATGCCCTCAAATAACTGATTCACAGCTTCTTTAGAAAGCAGATTTGATTAAGTCAGGAATAGAATTAGAATAGCTTGTCTCAAATTGCAATAACATTCATTATTTATTTTTTACATTTCAAGAGATGATGCCTGGCACCTGTCCAACTAATGGAAAGGAAACAAACATGCACAATAAACTATTCAAAACTCATCCTCAGCATTTATTCGTACCTTAATTTATGATTGCAAAAGAGGGGAGAAAGTTTATAAAACCAGTTATTAATCGTTTAGACGCAAGTCTACATTTCATGGAACAATTCATTCATCTTCCACAACTCCAACACAAAAATACAAGCAAGAACGTTCACAATAAAAGAATAGACAAAAATTCGGAACTCATGGGTTCATGAACCCATGCCTTTCTTTTTCTTTTTCTTTTCCCTTTTTTTTTTAATCGCTCATGCACCTATCTTTTCATGCATCTAACAGGTGATTTTGCCTCACATAGATCTGAAAGTTAACAAACCACGAAGCAAAAGCATAGAGAACAGTCTCACTGACATTTTCCAGATTTTCTGATTTCGAACTCTAAAGCACACAACCATGAATTAAACACAAGACCAACCAACACCATATGAGAAAGAGACGTGCTTTGCGACGGGGAAGAATTCAGGAAAGAAAAGAGTTAAGTTACAAGACAGAACCAAAGTAGCATCCAACAACACGATCACCAAATTCAATATCAAAAAGAACAAGAAAAGAAATGAAAGAAAAGCATTATCCATTGCAATAACAAGTGCATGGGTTCAGAAGTGTCAATTACAAAGGGTGGATGTCAAACCAAATGATATTAAAGATTTAACAGTGTTATTCTACAATAACAGGAACATCCTTCTTAAATAGCAAGTGGATGGCCTCAAAATACTTTACAGACCATAAGACACAGTACATAGCCACTAAATCCCCTTTGGGGATTGAGCGGGCAATCATTTGAGCCTGATCACAATTCACAACATTTTCAAAGAGTCTCAGCATCAATTCAGCCTAAACATAGTAACTAATGATGTGAATGCAATGAATTTCCATGATGTCCAAGCTGGTCATCTTCCTAGAATTGTGCCACCCAGAAATCATTGCCCAGGCCAATTCCAAAAAATAGGTAGCATGCTGCAATAGTGACTCTAAGGGGTAGCGCTTGAATTACAACCTGCATCCAAACTTCTGTCAACCCAAAAAATTCAGATCAAAATATGAAGGAACAATTAGTATCAGGAGTTCAAGAACTCAATCGATAAGCATTTACAATGACCCAGCTCCCAAGCAAATAAAGGAAACCTAGGAACTTGCCAGGTGCTCCAGTGTCAAGCAATAGAGAGTGCCCATTTATATGACATGACAAACAAATAACAGGACCCAACATGATACAGGCAGCCAATTCGCGGCACCAGATTGCTTGTTTACTATGTTTTCTTGAATGGCTGGACAAGTTACTAATGATTCATGCAAATCGAGAATACACGGACCACCCATCTGACTATTTTCTTCATTAGACTATAATAAAGATTATAGAAATAAAGAGTTGTAGTTGATAGGAATTACACATACAAGAGTACAGGAACACAGAAGAGGTCCTCAAAGCCATGTTTGGACAGCCACTATCATGTGATCCACAATATGGCTTTTGCAGTTGCACAGAGCACAGAAAATGTGATTTGGAAAGGTATGTTTGGATAGCTGCAAGGCTATCAAACCTACCCATAAAGCTCCTACTTTGTTGTGTGCGCTCGCTATGAGGCAGAAGCTTGACCAAGCCAATGGAGTGAGCACTCTGCCAACAACATTTTGACAGGCAAAATGCCCGATTTTGTTAGGTACTTTGTAATATTTTCTTGCTCTACATTATTTTCTTTTTTCTTTTCTTTCTTTTGCTAAAAGTTCTTCATCGCATTTAAAGATGGGATAGACAAAACCTGCCCGAGGGAATTATTGAACTTCTAAAACTGTCTAAGGACATCATCGAACTTCTTTTTTTTGAGAGAAGCTAACCTTAGTTTAAACAGGCTTCTGAAATCTCAACTTAGGAAATAATTTTCACAGGCGACACATAATTGCACCTTAAACCTGGAAGTTATTTTCGTCAATGTGAACACAACGCTTTGCATAACCAATCTAAACGCCAACCCATGGGAGCTAACCAAACACAACTACTACATATTTTCTGCATGCTACACGCATTATGAAACTTGTTGACATAATGCAGTAAAAAAAAATGATCACAAGACAACTCGATACCCATGCAGCATCAATATCAACATCAAACAGGGCAAGAAAAATAAACAACAGTTTGATGACCGGAGGAAGTTTTTACATAGATACTTGATGAACAACTTGTAGGACACAAAGGAACACAAAAGAAGATCGGAATTTACAAAATGAAACAGATAATGAAACATGCTTTTGGGAGACATACTTGTCATAAATATTCAGAATTTCATAAGATTTTGATTTGTTTCAATGTCGGCCATCTACTACTAATTAAGGGTTGTTTCAAAGTGACAAGTTCAATTTCAACATTCCAAGTTTCAAGACTGAGTTGGAGAAAGATAAAAAGGCTTACACCTGGTTCAACTCGAGTGGAAATTTTTGGGAGGTGAAGGCTTTGCCATTAGTTTTGGAACTTGTGATGTGTGGAGCTTCATGCTCGGGACTTCTAATAGAAAAGGAGAATTCGCTTCACAGGACAAGACGGGACAGCAGGGCAGGCCCCAGCCCACAATGTCTCAGATATAATAGAGGGCATTCAGAGATTGCAATCCATGTGATATCATCCCAGCATCCAGAGGATTTTTTTTTTTTTTGACGGGGATGGGGGGGGAGGGGTTCAGTGGAAATTTTGATAATAAGACGGGACCACGACTTATACAGCGACTTGGCTAGCTGGCTCTCTTCCCTTTTCTTACTTAAACCGCTTACTGAAAAGTATGATTGAACCACTCACCTACAAGCAACTCGCTCTAGCCATAACAGCAAGAGGAGTTTGTGTTTTTTTCTCCCCTTTTTGCTACGTGAACTTTATAATAGTTCTTGATAACGTGAAGTTATCCCAATACTTGTCCTTCGTATGATTTCTCATGCAACGAGATGTTAATATTTAAAAAATACATTAGTCTTTATATAAACCCTGAAATAGTATCAACAAAAACTTTTACCGCAATGACATAGAAGCAAACCGGAAGCACCAGAAGTATACAAACTAAATAGTGAATAAAAAATTTAAAAAATAATGGATAAACAAAAACACCCATTAGCAAAAGGTAAAGAATTGATACAACAAGATTTTAGAGAACTGCTCACCAATTGATGAGAACTATGATCAATGAAGTAGGGAGCTTCTGAACATTAGACGATTGCAGCAGATCCAACAGCAGACCAAGACTGTTGTTCGCAACCTGAGTCAGCATAGCAAGATCAAGAATCGGATGGCCTCTAACTACCCATGACATATTAAAATCTCTCACTCTTCCTGCCAAGAGCAAATTATATGATCACTACAGCTGGGATCAACATCATATTACAACCATTGCAATGCAAAAAGAAACAGTAGAAAATGCATGGTATTAACATTTAATCATGAGACTTCCACATCTAAAATAATATACCATCATTAGGACTTTTCTACCTTCTTTAAGTTCAAGTGGAGAAGGGGCCTGACAATCATTTGCTTCAGGTGTGAAAAGCAAAATAAGAGTTTCGAGAAACTTCACTGCAAGCAACTTTGTTGCAACCGTACAAGGCTACAACATACATACCAAGAATATACACAGTCAGTAAGCAACAAAAACAATAACCACCATGGCAATATTTAGAACGAACAAAGACAGTGTACCCCCAAAGCGGTGTCACAAACAGCATCTTTAAACTTCATCATCCACAACCACAGCTCTTCAAGCCATCTCTCCACTTTACCAAATTTGAGGAACTATAAATCTCAAAATAAAACAAAACCACCATGTTAAAGAAATGCCACAACTATTATAAAATCGGTAGCTACCACTAACAGAGGTTTAAAAGTCATCATCACCATCAAAGCCTTTCCCCAACTATTTGGGGTAAGCTAGAGGTTTAAAGTGATTAATAAAATTATTCAAGCGTTAAGTGAACAGCTAAAATGCATTGGCATTACAAAAACGGCTAACAGAATAAGTTGGCATTACAGAAAACAAACTTGAGGGAGTAAATAAAACTTAAAAAATAGGAAACTAAGATTGCATCAACCATTCGAACAATCTCAAAAGATGTCCCAACCAAAGGTCAAGCACCCAGAATAGCAAATATTACACATCACAAAGATAAAGCAGCCCGAGAACTAAAGAGCAGATCACCAGGCTACCACACTGTAAACAGCAAGGTATACAAGACAATCACAATCAGTTCTTTTTTAACCAACTAACAGATGACACAAGCAGGAGATCCCTGGATAGTCATTGGATTAAGTTACAGAAAGAACTGAAAAACAACTCGCCCATATCTCCTCGAAGCAAACCATCTCATCCAGGACTATACTCAGAACAAACAAATATTCATAACACATCCAACAGCAGGCACAAAAAAGAGCGTTCCTAATCTTAGGGCTCTTACCTGGGACAAATATCTGATCAGGTCCCAAATCTCCTTTCCATAACTATCAAAATTCCTACATTGCCTTTGCCTCCCACTCACACTTAAGCAAGTTTGTTGACTTGTGCAAGATATTAAATATACTTAGAAAAAATTGTCATGGATGTAAGGACCAATATTAATCATTATCCTCATATACATGAACTTCTAGGGCACTAAAATCATGATTCATTGTTGAATCGACTAAGCATCCCTAATTTAGTGAATCCTTATGAGTTATTGCGCTCTTCTGTGCAAAAGCATGAAAGAAACAGTGAACTCGTCCAGTGAAGTCACTGTCAACCTACAGGGCATGTGAAAATGACATGCATTCAATTAAAAGTTGAACCCAGTATGCCAATTGGCAGGCAGAGCACCGCTGAAGGTAATATATGTGGGTGTACGACAGCATCCTTGAAGGGCAAACTAAGGGCAGTTTTTTATATAAATGCATATAACACCCCAAGTTTGAGGCTTTGCACGTGTTGTTTGTTTACACATTATATCCCCTTCTTGACAGTGAACAACTCCGTGTGTATTGCCTCTTGAGAACTTGGCTTCATCTATGGAAGTGAATCAAATAAAAGTTATGGGTGCAACTTTGTCTGTTTCTTGCCTTTTTCGTTAGTCCTCCAAGATACTTCAGCAACAAGTGCACCTTGAGTAGCAAATCCACAGAATGACAAGTTTTAGATTCTAGAAAGTGACACCATAAACATTCTGAAATGGGTAATGGGAACTTTAGCATCCATCTAAATTGCGAGAGGTCTTCAAGGAAATGCAAGGTTTGCTATATTAACGCATTATAGAACACTTCCATACATCCCTAAGGATAGCAGTTGGCTGGCATCAGGTGGCAAGTATAGGGGCAAATAAAGAACGGAGCTGATCTGTGGATTTGGCTCAGCTTTTTCCTTTTTTTTTACTATGTTTGCTTCTAGACTTTTAGTACGTAAGTGCATCTCTGGGTACATATGAATCATCACTGCATGTTCCTAGCTCATCATTAGCAAGTTTCTATATTACACTTCAAATAGTTTCGATCATTATCTTAGAGAAAATGATGATGAAAAAATGACTTGCTATTTTAATCTTTTTTTTTTTTGCCTTTTTTTTCCCAATGTTGTAAGGAGGAAACCACTACATTGTTGCTTCAAGGAGAAGCAGACAATCTCAGACGTAGACTGTACGGTTGAAAAGGATAGGAAAAAAGGGGGAAAAAAAATCAAACTGGGAAATTTGGGGCCTCGGGCCTATAAAGAGATCCTGCCTCCTATTTACAGCAGGTGCTAGTGGGTTCACTGTGTCATTGGCCATTCTAGAAACCTGCTGAAAGATCATTGTCTTATCACGGCATTGCTCCATTATGCACAAAAATCAATATGAGAAATACATTGTCACTATGAGAAGCACTGTCAAATAATAACTTGAGATTAAATTGCAGTAAGCTGGGACTTTGTGTTAATATAAAGTTCAGAGTTTCATATACATGCGCGTAGGATTTCATTCTCATGACAAAATTCACCATCAATTCCATGCTAGATTAAACATGACAAAAATTGAAAAATTCAGAATTTCTGCCAGGTTATTCGTGGTATGTGCTAGAGGATAACTGGCTTATCATGGCATGGCTCCATTATGTAAAGAAATCAATATAGAAAAAACATAGTCACTATAAGAAGTGCAGCCAAAATAACAACTTGAGACTAAATTCTTGTAAGTTGAGATTTCATGGGCAATAGAAAGTCTCATATGCAAGCATTAGGAATTCATTCTCTTTAGATTATCCACAGATGATTCCATAACAAGTGCAGAATTTGAAAATTCAGTATTCCTGCCAGGTTACACCAAGCAAATGATAAAAAGTTTCTCTTTTGATATTGTTTTCAGACACAAACCGCCTTATAGATAAACTCAGGACAATTCTGGATGTCTAAAGGACAATAATTAGAAATTGGACTAGATAAATATATCTTTTTAATATTTAATTTAGTTTAACATTGGACACTAAAAGCAGTTATGATGGAAGAGAGTACCTGCAGCGCAATATCTTCCAACGAGTTCCGAAATAATTTTGAGCCACTAACTATTGTCTGTTTAACAACATCAGGAGAGTTGTCTTTCAAAAATGCCACCAAGACAGGTACCAACATGCAGATTCTTTCCCCCACCATCAAACCAAGATCCCCAATTAGTCTGCAATCAACAAAGATAACAATGCTTAAAGTACTAAAAAACATTGCATGGTGGAAGGAAATCATCAACCCAATTTTTTCGAATATAATCCAAGAAAGGGACTCAAAAATAAGAATGTCGGCTAAGCTGCTCCACCTCCAAGCAAAGGAAGCAAATCAGAATGTTGGCTGCTTAGCTCACACCAACATAGTCAGCAGATGAAGGCAATTGAAAGCTCACCGGCCAAAAGCATAGTCTCAATACATAATTTTTTTGCTATATTGTCTAATATTGTATTTCTTTTATCCCTTTTTTCCTTCCATTCTTTTACCATGTACCTCTCCCTCTTCTCTTACTACTTCTATTTGTCTGAGCTCCCAACTTGTGGGAGTGCCGCCTTTCGTTTATAGCCAAATGTATTTCTTCTATTTATTTACAAAGTTAACCTTTCTCACAAAAAAAATATTGTGCCCTCATAAGAATTCTCACATCCTTGAACTCCAAATGCCATTTCCACAACTTATAACAATTCAAAGAAATGTAATTTTAAGTTCACAACATTACTTCTGCATTAGGAAATGGTATTTTTACTAATTCAAATAAAAAATGGCATATTTATGGAAAAGGACTATAACCACGAGCTTAAAGCCTCTTACTTGTATATAAGGACCAATGGAAACAATAAGCTTGACATATGCTTTAAGACACCATTTAATTGGTATACACATGAAAGAGACATCATAAACCGTGCCCCTTCCATGACAGAATTGTCGAACCAGGGGTGATTATAAATAATAGAACATCCCCCAAGCCAAATTTCATATATTATGAATGCTGTGATTCATAATTGGGAATAGACTATGATGATGATGATGATGATGAATGCTGTCATTCACATGTCAATAGCGCATGCATTCGCATTCCACAACATGCAATTTGAAACCTAAAATAAGCAAAACAACCCATGTAATTTTTTAAAAAATCCAAAATCTCAGAGTGGCAGTCCCCTTATCCAAGGAAAATAGTAATAACTCGAAGGATTAAATATTGAATGGTCTCTGTAGGTCGTTCTAAACTTAAAGTCCAAGTGTTTTTTTTTTTTTGATGATGTTAACTGAAAGTCCAAGTATTAATTGGTTATAACTATCTTTCCTCCAAATCAGCTGCAATAGGGCATAATCATCATTAAATAAATAACAATACGAGTTAAAAAACGAAATAAGGAGAAAGGAATAAAATCACAGTCAGGGTGGGTTCAGGTTTTCAACTCACTCAGCTAGGGTTTTGCGAACCAACGAATCAGGAGAGTCTTGAAGGTCCGCAACATAAGGAATCAGCTCTGCAGCAACAGTGGGATCGCTAGAGATCAGAATATCCCTAGCTTGTCTTAGAGATGAAAGCTTCACAGCCAAATCATTGTGGTTCTTAGCAGCCACGAGAAGAGAAATCGCCTGACTTCTAGGGTTTGTTGCGGCCATTATGCTAACTATTAGACAGAAAAAAGTTGCAGAATAATTCTCTGTGGTGAACAGTACTTGAAAAACGCGACCTAAGGTTCCTCTCTCTCTCTCGCGTTCTATAATTTCTGGTGTCCTGTTATTGGAAAACGCGACCTAATCTCTCTCTCTCTCTCTCTCTCTCTCTCTCTGAATCGTGAGGTCTCTCTCCCTCTCTCTCTCACACTCCGATAAATAATGACCGAGGAAAGGAGAGGGAAAGAGGGAAAAGAGTGCGAGTTGGGGAGGGAGAAGGGGCTTTGTGCATACAGGGATGGTCTCAAAGAATCTGCCGCATTTTTGTTTTTAAATGAACTCATTGAATTTTGGACTCTTTTCATTGGGTAAATATGTGAATTTTAGACTCCATTACTGGGAAACTGCAAAGTCTTAAGTCTATACCACATTAACCCACTTATTATCACATATTTTTGGGTTTTTAATGAAAAAAAATGTTACTATGAACCCTCTCATACCTATGTGATTAGGACTCCAAATGATTACCATTAAAATTAATACAGATTTCTAAAAAAGTTATCATATGGTGTGAAACTTGACTTTTCTAGAGATCCATGCCAAATTTGATGGTGATCATTTGGGGTCCTATTCACATGGGTATGAGAGGGTCTCGTAGGATCATTACTTTTTAATGAAACCTACACAGTAGTTCAGGGACTGTCTACACATATATCATTTATCTTTTATAAACGGAAATCACAATCATTTTTATCCCTTAAATTTCAAAATAGGTGGTTATAAGAGTGCCAATGAATAAATACAAAGTTCTAAAAATAATAATTTCTCAAACTTCATGACTCACCCTAAGCTATCCAATTTAACATCTAATGAGTGAGAATGATTGGACTCCATGTACAAAAAATAAAAGGTGGGCTCTTCGTAGACAAGGGTAATTATTTCTAAGGGCTATCATTTGCAGTAGTGTGAAAAAACGACAATCATCAATCAAGGGAAGACCTATAATCCTTGTTTGAGAACTAAAAAAACCGGAGAAAACAAGTTTTTTTCTCAGTGTTTTCCCTGTTTGAGAATAGGGAAATCCATGAAAACAAGGAGCTCTGCATTTTTTTGTGTTTGCACGTTATTCCCCAATTTCGGAGAAAACTGCAGCACGCTCTTTAGGGTGTGCTGTTGATTATCAAGAATCGGAAGTCCCCTTCATCCCCTTTTTCATTTCACTAACCTTACGATCGATTTGCCAAAGCTCTAGTTCAAGTTTTCTCCAATTTTTACAAACAAGTTACCAAACAAGGGTTTTCAGCTCTTAGCTACAATTTTATATTTCTACCTTTTTCTCAGGCTTACAGTTTCTCAGATATTTTAAAAAAAAAAAAGCATTCTCAATTACCAAATAGGGTCATAATGGCTAAAATTTTATTTTTTAATCAAGGAAAAGAATATCCACCTTTTTGGGTGTACGACATGATATTTAAGAATATTTTGTACTCCCGAGGAGCATACTAATGCAGTATAAAATTTACCGACAAACAATACCGACAAAAATAATTGTATTTTAAATAGAGAAATAAAACTTGTAAAGGAAATCACAAGAAAAAAGAATAAAATTCGTTGATACGAGTATTCCGACATAGACCAATTTCAATAGCATAAAAAACACCCACAAAGGGACCTCTCTCTCTACAATAAATACTTTATTTATTCCATAAAACTCAATCCCCCATTACACAATACGTGATCTCTTTTATAAAAGGTTGCTTTCAAAACCGTAAAGATAATTACTTTGTCTTCTAAAGATAAACCATAAAACAAAGCCCTATTTCTATGTACCTCAATCTCACATTTTTCCTTCAATCTAACATTCTTCCCTCAATCTCACATTCTTCCCTGAAAAAAAGTCATCCTTATCTTTTTCTACCAAAAAACAAAGCCCTATTTCTATGTACCTCAATCTCACATTTTTCCTTCAATCTAACATTCTTCCCTCAATCTCACATTCTTCCCTGAAAAAAAGTCATCCTTATCTTTTTCTACCAAATAGGAGTCCGTTTGGTTTCCCTTTCTCCTATTCATATTTCATGTCCTTAATAGAAAACCAAACGGACTCCTTTCGTATAAAGGTTATCCACTTATTCCTATCTAGAACAAATCCGTTTTCCACTTATTCCTATTTAGAACAAATCCACAGACTTTCCTAAACCAACCCATATAAAAAAAAACACCTTATGAACTAAACTAAAAAAAATCATACTTATCCTATTTCTAACAATTAACCTTAATAAATAAAAATAAAAGTCTACCCACATCTCTAAAAATAAAAGCATAAATTTCTAGCAACCTTTGATATGCATCATTCTCCCCTGGTTGGAGAAAACTTGACCCCGAGTTTTAAAATGTACTAAGATCAACTTTGTATTAGCACCACAACCTTCTTCGATCTGAATGTTGTAAACACAATCCTAAAACCTATGGGTTGAAACACTATTCAAAAGACAACAATTGTGCACTGAAATTGATAAACTATCGAGGAATGGATCATCACATATCCATAATAATTGTTTATGCTCAGCCCTAACATCTTCAAGCTAAGAGTATTCGATGATTGATTTAACATCACTTATGGATTCTCCTTTGAGTGCTTCCTTTTTTTTTCGTCAAATAATTAGATAGGCTTGACCTCCTCTGGATAGCAAAACCTAAATCCTCCTAATGAGCCACTAAATGAAACATTTACCCAATCTCTTGAACCTCCTCCATAAAGTTGACCATTGAGATTAAATTTATACACTCCCGAGATTAAATATATACACTCCCTTGGTTTAGGCTTAGATGTAATTCCCTCTTTCATGAGAGCTAACACAGTTTATTACTATCTTTCCAATAAGTATATGTGTTCCTCCTCCCATCATATAGCTTTACGGTCATATTGTCATGGTCTACCCAATAATATATGACAAGCATCCATGGAAACCACATCACACCATGCATTATCACAATATTTATTTCCAATAGAAAAAGAAACATGGCATGTACTTTCTACTTGTACATCATTGTTCTTTTGTAACCAAGTAAGTTTGTATGGTTGGCAATGCTTCTCTATGCCGAGCTTGAGCTTTTTAACTGCATCTCGTGATATTACATTCTCACAACTCCCACTATCAATAATAAGTTTGCACACTTTACCTCCAATTGTATAGGTGGTGTGAAAAATATTGGTCATTAACCAATGCTACTGAGTTTATTGCTTAGGCGTTAATAGACTCTTTCGAATAATTAAGGACTCACCAACATCTCCATAGACAAGATCATCCTCATATGGCTCATCATCATAAATCGGATCACCATCATACCAATTAGCATCATCTAGGTTCTCATCCACAATTATGACTTGTTTGTTTTTATCAAATTGACTATTCGACTTCTTACAGTCTTTAGCCTTGTGACTCATCTCCCCGTACTTGAAACAATGAAGAGTTGAGATGCTGCCCTGAACTCTAGCACCTAGACCAGCAGTATTTTGGTGATTAATAGGTGCTGCAATGATATCTCTACGCCCCCCAGATGGTGCATCTTTAGGGCTAGCACCACAATCTTGAAACTTGTCTGTTCGGAGACCCGAATCTCCTCTCGTGGCTGCAATAGCCCTGCTCCTAGATTGTTGCTTTTCTACAGTTAAAGCTCGTTGATAGGCTTCCGATACAGTCCATAGAAAGTATAAACTTAGGACATCCTGAATTGATTGGTGCAGTCCCGAAATATATCGAGCAACATGTTGCTCTTCAGTAACAAGTTGTTTCGTGCAACTAGTTGACCTCCCTCCTTAACGAAAGGTATGAAGTCGCTGAAACATCTTCTGGGTATAGTTAAAGGGCAAGAACTGCTCCCTTAAGTTTTTCATCTTTTCCCAATTAGAGATTTTCGATTTTCCATGTCTTTCTCGATTCTTTTTCAATTACTCCTACTATGTTGATGCATGACCCTTAAGAATAATTTGCCATGAGCTTCACCTTCCTATCAATCAGCACATCTTTGTATTCAAATATGCGCTCGACATAATCAATCCAATCAATAAATTCCTCCACTTGCAATCCTCGTATAAACTCTGGAAGATTAACTTTAATACCTAGATCCCAATATCTGTTATCCCGAACATGGGGCTTCTGATGCAGAGCGTGCACATGGTACGAGTTCTCCAAAGCAGCTTCCTACTCACTACGGTCGTCATAGTGTGTCGGGGCTGATTTTGCGCTAAGCGTTGGGTCAATTCTTCTACTTGCCTTCTCAAATTTATGATCTCTATCTCATAGAGGTATTGCTCTCACTGGATCCACTCATTCTCGACACCTTGTTGTCGCGGATGTCCACGAACCATATGCCTTTTTAAGAGCATGCGATCGTAAAAGAGTTTGGCTCTTATACCACCTGATGCAGTATAAAATTACTGGTGAACAACACTGAAAAAAATAACCGCGTGTTAAAGAGAAATAAATTTTGTGAAGGAAATCACAAGAAGAAATAACAAAACACACAGATATGAATATTCCGACATGGACAAAATTCAATAGAAAAAAAAACACCCACAAAGGGGCCTTTCTCTCTACAAGAAATACTTTATTTATTCCATAAAATTCAACCCCCATTACATAATACATGATCCTTTTTATAAAGATTTATTTCAAAACCGTAAAGATAACTACCTTGTCTTTTAAAGATAAACCATAAAACAAATCCTTATTTCTATGTACCTCAATCTCACATTCTTCCCTTAGCAACTTCCCTAAAAAAAATCCTCCTTATCTTTCCCTCCCAAAAAGGAAGGTTCATATATCATGTCCTTAATAGAAAACCAAACGAACTCCCTTCATATAAAGGTTATCCACTTATTCCTATCCAAAAAAATCCACGTACTTTATTAAACCAACCCATATTTTAAAAAAAAACACCTTATGCACTAAACTAAAAAAATCATACTTATCCTATTTCTAACAATTAATCTTTATAAATAAAAATAAAAAATCTACCCACATCTCTATAAAAATTTCTAGCAATCAGATTTTGATATGTGTCACATACTGTCTAGAATGTAACATTTTTAACCTAGTGACTAACCTCAAAACAAAAACAAAAAAAAAATGCAGTATAGAGGTCTACAAATTTAGTTTCTGAATATTATATAGAGATCATCTAATTTTATTTATGAATTCTAAAACATTGTAGCGCACTATCCTAATGCATCTTAGGACACAATAAACTATAGTCATGCCCAAAACATAGTCCAGGTTAGAATATCCCAAAATCCTAAATTTACAAACCCAAATAT